GGAAAGTGGAGTAAAGAGTGTTCTAGAAAGTTCTGGGTTTGTCTGGAAGCTGGACACGTCTTGATCCTTTCCTGATAGGATTCGTACAGTTCAGTCTTTCCAGCACATCTCATCTTTTAATTTAACGAGGCACACTTTTCTTCTTTGTGAATGAAAAGCACAGTTGGGAAGTATGGGTATTAAGTAGGCCCTTGGGGTGGGGGGAATGTTTCAATGAATCAAAGCCACAGGAAAAAAATAGATGTGGACCAAATGCACCCTGAGGAAAACAGATTCACAAGGATCTAATTATTCATTGGAAGGCTAGATGGGAAATCAGGAGCCATGAAAACCGCAAGCTGACACAAAGGGGCCTCTGCTTGACTCATGCTTTCTTCCAAATATGTCTTAGTTGACCTGAAACTACTCTCAGTGACCTCAGTTAGGATGCCTCTTTCAAGGCCGAGCCTCACCATCGCCACCACTGCAACCTTGATGCGATGCCCTCCCTCTTTCTGTCTTGCACGTTGTGGGCACACAGCGACCCCGACGTGGTATTTTCTGGGGATCCGAGCTACCACGCAGTAGGCTGACTCGGCAGGTCCTTTAGTCCACTGGGTGCTCAGGCCCAGCACAGGCCAGCTGGTTGACACATAATATGCCCACCCCAATTGTGCTGCCCCAAGCCTGCTTCGTCACATTACTCAGGGTCAGGCCCGTCTTTAGAAAATGAGAGTAAGCTCCTTGAAGGCGGGAGATGAGTCTTGCCCACCTTTGATGTTCTGCAGGTCCTGGCCCCAGTCCATTCAGTGAGTTCTCTGGCCTCATAAAAGACAGACTCACACCCACAAAAGACAGACCCACGTTCCTGGTGGATGGTTTCGGTCTGGTCCTGCCCCAAGTCAGGGGGATGTGTCACCTCTCAAGAACCTTCCAGTCATGTGGTTCTATTTTTGAAAATGAATCAAACCCTGGAAAATTCTGACACCAGCCACCCAGACATCTGGGAACTGGCCGTGTCTCATCCCACAAATATATTTTTAAAGGGGGCCCTTTATGTTCCTGACACGGGGGCAATTTGGAGATAGTGATGTTTACAGAAGGGTTCATAGCTACGTAAACAAACATGCCGAGCAGCTGTGGCAAGTGTGCCTTAAATAGTGAAGCATTCATATAGACTGTTATTTATAGAGGGCAAATTGGCATAGAGGCTAGATGACAGCCACACAGAGCTGGGCCCGGTGCCAGCCAGCTCCTCACTATAGGCTTTCTGATTGATGAACTTCCATATTTACCTCCAACGATTATGCAACTATGACAGGCAGCCCTTTCCAACACCTCAGCAAATATGTCTCCTTAGAATGAATCCCATTAAGCTTTTTTTTTAATTTTTATTTTATATCGGAGTATAGTCAGTTCACAATGTTGTGTTAGTTTCAGGTGTACAGCAAAGTGATTCAGTTATATATATACATATACCTCTTCTTTTTCAGATTCTTTTTCCATATAGTTTATTATAGAATACTGAGTAGAGTTTCCTGTGCTATACAGTAGGTCCTTGCTGATTATCTGTTTTAAGCTTTTTTTTTTGCATTTTTTATTATGGAAACTATAAAACTTATATAAAAGTAGACCAAATCGTATAATCAACTCCCATGTACCCATCATTCAATTTCTATAATTGTCAATTCATGGCCAAACTTGCTTCATCTGTGTCACCCACTCACTAACTGCCCCTCCAGCATCATATTTTATCTGAAAATATATCAATATGTCTCTAAAAGATAAGGACTCTTTTAAAAGCATAACTGTAGGGCTTCCCTGGTGGCACAGTGGTTAAGAATCCGCCTGCCAACGCAGGGGACACGGGTTCGAGCCCAGGTCCCGGAAGATCCCACATGCTGCGGAGCAACTAAGCC